GGCAGGCACCTTTCCCTCTGCCCAGTGTCACCTGCATCCCTTTGCCTCATGCCCCCATCTCCCTTCACCCTCTGTATCCCCCTCCTGCTCCTTCCTTGGCTTCCCAGTGCCTCAGGGACTCCTGTCCACTTTCCCTTCCCTCTGGGGTTTCTGGGCCCCACCAACCCTCCGTGCACCCAGCCTTCCTCCCCCCACACCTGGTGCCCACCCTACAGTTTATTTTGGGGGTGGGTTTTTTTGGAGGAGCGGAAGGTTTGTCTTCTTCCCTAATGTAAGGGCACCTGTGAACATGGGGTGTATGGGGGCGGGGGGGTGCTGCAATAAACTGAGCTGTGTGTGTTTGGAGGGGGAGGGGAGAGGGCACTGGCACGGCTGTGTTCGGCAGTGTGCGAGCTGACAGACACAAGGGGCAATGCCACTGCCTGATTGATTGCAGAGCCATGTGCTTTGCCCGGTCTATTGAGTCAGTGCATCCAGTTCTCTATTGTCAGCTGATGCCGAGCCCTAAATTCCAAGGCTAATTATGATGCGGCTCCTGTGCAATTAACCGCCCTTGCCGAAAAGCCTTGTGCCCGCCTGGGCAGCCCGTGCCAAGGGGTCTGAGCACCCTGGAAAGCCCAGCTCTGCTTGGGTGCAGCGCTGTGTGTGTGAGGCTCACGCATGAGGTGTTCTTGTCGTTCATCAGCTGAGCAAATAGATCATTTTTGCCTGATGCAGCAAGCGCGCTGTGGTGAGGTAGAGCTATGTCCTTAATGAGCGGAGCAGCGTGTTAGCCCCTGTATGAAAGAGGCGAACGCCCGGGAGAGCTTAAGAGATGCGGCATGTTGTCTGTCTCCAGCCCGCTGCACACCTGAGAGAGCGCACACACTTCCTGCATGGCCCGAGCGCCCGGCTTTCTTGGGATTTAAATGCATGAAAAATAGTAAAAGGCAGGATAAAAATACATGGGTTGGGAAGGGTGAGTGAACAGTAAGTCTAGAAAAGCCCAGGGCAAAGCAGGAATTTCCTGTTCCCATAGGAGACCCGGGGAGACTCTGAAATGTCCGTGGGTGCAGAATGCTTGGCTGTGTGAGATGAACCAGACAGTTGAGCCGGAAGCGTGTTGCTCCGGAGTGATTAGTGGCATCCCACAAGTCCTGGGTACCCTCGTTGAGCAGCTCAGCCCTGCCCTGAGCATCAGAGGACAGGGCTGCTTCAAGTGGGGTCATGGCCAGAGTTTGTTTTACGACACCCTGAGCCTCTTTCTGTTCCATGGTGCTCAGGGTCCACCGTCCAAAGGGGGCAGCTGCGGAGGGA